ATCTATCTATCTATCTATCTATCTATCTATCTATCTATCTATCTATCTATCTACTTGTCTGTCTAATGAGTAAAATGGCCACACACACGCACACACACACACACACAGAGTACAGTGAACACTCAGCAGCTGTAATATGATCTGATATTCAGTGAATTGATCAGATGATGAAGGTGTTTTATTATTTGCCGAGTTCAAACAGAGCTGAACAAAGAGTGTGTGGGTGTGACGCTTCACTACACCAGCCCTGTTCCACCTGCTGCTTCACAACACACACACACACACACACACACACACACACACACACACACACACACACAGAACATGACATTGATCAAAGCTGAGCTTTCCTTTCCTCTCCATCATCATCATCATCATCATCATCATCATCAGAAGGAGCAAAACTGCTGAACTGACCCTGATCTGTCAAGATGTTTGTTTTGTGTGTAAATAACTCTCCTAAACACATCTTCACTTATTTATGAAGCCTGTTTATGCCTGGTAAGAACAAAAATCATACATTATAAAGTCAAAATTACGAGATAAACAGTTGAAAAAGTGTCTTAATAACTCAGTCTTATGACTTACTGAGTCAAAATGTGATTTAAAAGTATAAATTATGATTCAATATCTGGAAATAATCACCTAATAAGTCTGCAGAAGGCACAACATTGAATGAATACGCATTAAATATGGGAAACTGATAGTTTTATAGTTATATTTACAGTGTAGTTGTTGTTATTATTGCACATCTTCTTGTATTCTGGTTATCGCATGTTGTTTTGCTCACTGTGGATGGTCTATATCCTCATTTTTTGTGTTCGCATCATTTTAAAACAACAAATTTGATGGAAAAACACAATTATAGTGGATATATGAAGAGTTCATCTGTGAAAACAGATAAACAGAATATTTAGTGATTGTACTCTTCAATACTCAGTGCACAAACACCATTAACTTCCGCATTAATATCATTTCCATCAGTTCCCCTTTTATTTTTTTTGCATTTGTGCTTTTCAATAGACAACATATATAAATACATGATAAATGAAGATTATGAATACTGCCCATCCCTGTGTGTGTGTGTGTGTGTGTGTGTGTGTAATACACCGTGAGTAAATATTGATGTAGGTCTGAGAAAGCTCTTTCTCTTTCACTCTGAGTTTAAACACTTTATAAAGCTGTTTCCATCATTCAGAGAGGGATTTATAATTCCATCCAGCTTCTTCATCTGATCTGGATCTCCACTGCTGTTTATCTGCTGTCATTTTCAATAATAGTTTAATTTCCAGTGTATTATAAAGAGATGCAGTCAAGACAAGTGAACTAATCTCTGCAGCACTACACATTATCTCCATAATAAAAGTTTAGGTTTTCTATTTTTAAAATATTTATTCATCATTAATTTATAAAATTAAACAAAATAATAATTATAATAAAAAAAAAAGCTAGCAGAGGATGGTTTCGATCCATCGACCTCTGGGTTATGGGCCCAGCACGCTTCCGCTGCGCCACTCTGCTACTGCTGATACAACGGTGAAATACACAGTTCATAAACACAACAGTACAGTCCTGGAGAATGCCTGCTTACTAGCTCAAGTATATATTAATATAATTAAAGACTATTACACTAATGATCTCACACTAATTATCTTATATATTTACGAATTTAGTTCGCTTCTACTGATCGATGCTGGTGTGCGCCCTCTGCCGTTCAACAGCCACACTGCACTGATGAAACTAGCCATTTTCAGATCCACGCTGGACAAATACAGATTTCCTGTGAGAACATCAGCTTTAATAAATACAGCAATAAATAAATGAATTAAAATTTTACAAGAGCAGGAAATTAACATGAAATGTTTATTACTAAAAAAAACTTCATGGGGTTGTCTAGAAGGGATACAGCTGCGGACACTAATATTACGTCATGTGTGTGGCACTGTGCTGTACATTATTGTGACAGTGGGTTTAGGGTTAGGGTAGGGGTTGAAACTAATTGAAATCTAACTGAATAATAATTTAATAAATATTACCAATACTCATACTGTTCTGTTTGTACATTACTGTGAAGGTTGGGGTAGACGATAATCAAATACAATTAATCAATTAATAGGATTAATACTTGAATAAAGCCTCATTTATTCAGAAGCTGACGCTAATAAACGTGTAATAATAATCAATAATCGTGAAGGGAGTGATTCTACAGCTAATGAATTCACTCAAAGGCTTCATCAAATGTGACGCGTACAATGGCGACGCCTGCTGGACACACTGCGCAAACGCGGACAGCAGAATCCATGGTTAAACTGTGGTTCATAGAGGTTAAACGTTTTGATTTATTTGATTTATTTGTGGTATACCCATGGTCAAATTTCCTGAAGGATCGTTTAATTCATCTGCTTTAGCGCTCTTAACAATGTAGATTGTGTTAAATCAGCAGATCACAGATGAAATAAAGAGAATCAAAGGCACACCATTTCAGAGGACGGAACTCATTTTGTAAAGAATAATTGTCCTTTTGTTGTATTTAGACTTTGTATTTCCAATAATAAATAAATAAATAGGTTTTTAAAGTGTGTGTTATCAATTTAATCTACAGAATAAAACGGTTTAACAAGTTTAATCGCTGCGGCACCTTATCGCCCTCTAGCGGCCAGAACCCGCCAGCGTTCTGAATCAAAGAATCGATTCTAAAGATTCAAAGCTTCAAACAGCAGCATGTCCCTTCAGTTTAAGCAGAACTCATCGATATTCAGCAGTCAACATTTAAAAAGCTCTACTAAAATCCTCCAAAGACTATAATGGGTGTTGTTTGATAATTTTAGGATATCTTTGATGACAGATGATGATACACTTTAAATGTTGACTACTATAAGACCAAACGCAATGTATAAGTGTCTTAAACAATCATTATTAATAGTTTAAATGTAAATATAGGAAACGCTTTAAAATAATGGTCCATTAATACATGTATTTACAAACAACCTGTGCTATTTATTCGTTTTAGTTAACGTTAGTTGTTGTTTTTAAAGTTAATGAAACGTGAGTAAACGAACTAAAAGTAAGTAACGTTATTTAACTAAATGTTAACAAGCACAACTGTGGAGTTTAATAATGCAATAATAAATGCTGAACTACTATTAGTAAATCAGTTACAATGTTTGTAAATACTAACACTAATTAATAAACCATTGGTCTAAAGTGTTACCAAAATATCTAGAAATGTGAAGTCACAATCAAAGGTAATTGAGTATTATACAGTGCTGAATGATGTGTAAACAGCTTTAATGTACTCAATGTGCAGTCATTCTCTCGAGCGCCACACTCCAGTCCACCAGGCGGCGGAAGTGCGCTGTTTAGTCACCGCCATCAATCAGAGAAGAACCCCAGTGGCGTTGCGCTCTTTATTTAATTAACAAACACGTCTTAAAGCATGTTGTGTTAGAGTTTATATTATATCACTGTGATAAATAAAGACTTTTAATGCGTTTAGCGTCAATTTCACAAGTTTTAAACAGTTCCTCCAACTCTCGACATCAGAAAAAAATAAGAGTTTAAAAACACTCATTTACCGCAGCTGTTTTAGACCATGAACAGAACTACGCAAACCGGAGCTGTGTAATGTCTTAAGCAGTCAGAAATGAAATGAAAGGGCTCAGATGTACTCACCTGACTCTGCGCGACCTGCCGCCATGTTGGCTCAAGGTTGACGGTTTGGAAATGAGTTTACTCGTGTGGCTTTATGAGGATATTCTGATTATTTCCAGCGTAACAGTTTCATATCTGAAACACAACCCTGATCTTAATATTGGTGTATTTAAATGTTTTTCAATAGGGGACATTTTGGGGATGCTGAGGAAATCAGTATCTGACATTATCACAGTCTGATTTCTCCAAACATAACCATAAATGCGACCATAACCTCAACTAACCTCTCAATAGGAATAGTGTATTTGTCACAGATCATCCAATAAATAAATAAAAAATGAATACAAACACATTTAGTGTTCCTAAAGCAAGTTCATTTCTTTTGGACTTGAATGGAGATGTTTAAGGAAAGTTAGAAACTGGAAAACATCAACACTCAAGAGTGGAAAAACACCACTACAGACGCCAATCGACATCTTCCTTAGTGTTTACCTGAAGAAAGAAGCTCAGGTTTGGAGGAATCACTAATTAATGATTCAGTTTTGGGTGACCTGAGGCTTCAACCCTTATCTCCTAGAGCCTATAGTGGCCACATACGTGGACAGCACATTTCAGCTCTTAAGTGTTTATTTAAAATACTTTTGTTTTATATTTTGTTACAGACACACGGTGTCATCCTGCAACTGTTCTGCAGCATATGAAATGTCCCAAACACTATTTTAACTGTCCAAAATGAGCAAAAAATGTTGTTTTTACTCTCTGATAGTCAAAACATGTTAAAAAAATGTCATATTTGCATAAAAAAAAGTCAGGAAAAAGTGTTTTATGTAAATTCAGACCACGAGTGCACATATATGGACATCATATTTCTCTAAAAGTACATCATTTCATAAGATGATACTTTGGTTTTATTTTAATCAGGTTCCAATAAGCCCAAACAGCAGAGAGAAATAAAAATTATGTAAAAATCAGCTCGGGCCTTAAGAGGTTAAGTGTAGAGGAGCTCTGCACCTTCCTGATGATGATGACCCAAAGACTATATGGTCCACCAATAAATAACACACACATTTTGCTATCCCGGTGGGGGTTTTCTATAGATGTAATACAAATTCTACACAGTATATTCTCTCCCCCAGCCCTAAAACTATTTCCACACTTTCAAAATATCTAATTCTGTCTGATTTATAAGTATTTGTGCCCGCAGGGACCCTGCTTTATGTTCCCACATGACCAATGTCCCCATGAGTCTGTGTGTATTCAATGTTGAGTCCCCATGAGGATATAAAAACCCTAAACACACACACACACACACACACACACACACACTGAGAGAGCGGATGATCAGCTCA